AGAGATTGATGTCATATATCTTGACTTCAAAAAAGCCTTTGATCTGGTATCCCATGATCACCTCTTGGCAAAACTGGCCAATTGTGGCCTTAGGTCCACCACGATCCGCTGCCTGGGAAATTGGCTCCATGGTCAGACCCAGAGGGTGGTAATTGATGGAAGTCAATTGTCATGGTGCCCTGTGACCAGTGGGGTCACCCAAGGCTCTGTCCTTGGACCCATATAGTTCAACATCTTCGTTAATGATGTGGACACTGGAGTCAGAAGTGGACTGGCCAAGTTCACCGATGACACCAAACTCTGGGGCAAAGCATCCACACCTGAAGACAGGAGGGCGATCCAGGCTGACCTGGACAGGCTTAGCAAATGGGCAGACGAGAACCTGATGGTGTTTAACACTGAAAAATGCAAGGTTCTCCACCTTGGGAGAAAAAACCTGCAGCATCCTTATAGGCTCGGCAGTGCTACGCTGGCTAGCACTACGGAAAAAAGTGACTTGGGGGTCATCACTGACCACAAGATGAACATGAGCCTGCAATGTGATGCTGCAGCTAGTAAAGCAAGCAAAATGCTGGCTTGCATCCACAGATGCTTCTCAAGCAAATCCCAGGACGTCATTCTCCCCTTGTACTTGGCCTTGGTGAGGCCGCAGCTGGAGTACTGCATCCAGTTTTGGGCCCCACAATTCAAAAAGGATGTGGAGAAGCTTGAGAGAGTCCAGAGAAGAGCCACGAGCATGATCAGAGATCAGGAAAACAGACCTTACAACGACAGGCTGAGATCTGTGAGGCTCTTCAGCCCAGAAAAGTGCAGGCTCAGGGGTGATCTGATGGCCACCTATAAGTTTATCAGAGGTGACCACCAGTATCTGAGGGAACGTTTGTTCACCAGAGCGCTCCAAGGGATGACAAGGTCGAACGGTTATAAACTACTGCAACACCATTTCAGAGTGGACATAAGGAAGAATTTCTTTACTGTCCAAGCGCCCAAGGTCTGGAATAGCCTTCCATCGGAGGTGGTTCAAGCACCTATGTTGAACACCTTCAAGAGTAAATTGGATGCTTATCTTGCTCAGATCCTATGACCCCAGCTGACTTCCTGCCCTTCAGGAGCAGGGCTGGACTCAATCTTCCGAGGTCCCTTCCAGCCCTAATGTCTATGAAATCTATGTCTATGAAGAACTTCTTTATGGTAAAGGTTGCCAGAATCTGGAATGGGCTTCCAAGGGAGGTAGTGCTCTCCCCTACCTTGGGGATCTTTAAGAGGAGGCTAGAGATGCACCTAGCCAGGGTCATCTAACCCTAGGGCTCTTTCCTGCCCAGGTCAGGGAGTCAGACTCGATGATTTACTGAGGTTCCTTCTGACCCAAACAACTATGAATCTATAGTAAAACAAATGTTTACTAAGAGATCGGAGTTTTTGCTTTCATCCAGTTCATCTGGCAGCAAACTTTCTGGATCCTCAATACAGAGGACAACATTTATCAAAAGATGAATTATCTACTGCTCGTGATACAATTATGGAAGTAGCCAAGAATGTCCCCAACATCAACAAAATAGCCACAATAACAGACATTGCCAAATGCTGCACAAACGAAAAAAAACTTTGGAGCAAAGACATCATTTGGAGGACAGCAGAGGATATGTCTACTCTCACATGGTGGAAGGGATATTGTAACACCAGAGTGTTGTCCAGGATTGCTCTAAGCATTAGGGCTGTGCAAAGCTTCAGGTGCTGATTCGATTTGGAGGACATTTGGCCCAATTCGGTGGCCAAATCACCAAAACCGAATCAAATCAGGGGACCGTTGAAAAGGTCCAAATCGATTTGAAGCTCTCTGAATCTTTGGAAAAGATTTGGAGAGCTTCGAATATATGGACAGTCCCCGCCCGCTGCAGCACGGAGCTGCAGCCGGATTCGGAGCTGGTAAGTAGGGGCTGGAAGAGAGGGTAGAGAGAGGGCTGGAAGGGGGGACCATGGGGTACCCCTGCCAGGCCCCATCCCCGCCCACTTCCCCAGCACCTCCCATGGCTGCCCTGCCCTGCCCGCCCCAGCTCCCGATGCTTTAAAAAAAAAAGCCCCACTTACCAGGTGCTGCCCAGCAGGGGGGCGATTCCCGCTGTTCCGCACTGCCCCACACTGCATGTTCCCACAACCCTTCTGGCCTCCCCTCCACCCATGGCTGCCCTGCCCGGCCCAGCTCCAGCCCTTTAAGAAAAAAAAAACAACCCCCGAGAACAACCCCTGGACTCACCACTCCTGCAGCAGCCTTGGGGCTTCAGGGGACTCGTGCAAAGCCCCCAACGTGGCATGGGGCAGTGGAGAGCAGCAGAGCTCACCCCCCGCTGGGCAGGAACAGTGAGTCCGGGGTTTGAGGGGGGTTTCTTAAAGGGCCGGAGCTGGGACGGGCAGAGCAGCCATGGGAGGGACTGGGGGAGCAGAGGGGCATTGGGGGGCTTGTACAGAGCCCCCCATGAAGCGTGGGGCAGTAGG